AGGAAGGAAGGAAGGAAGGAAGGAAGGAAGGAAGGAAGGAAGGAAGGAAGGAAGGTCTAAGCCTTCATATTTTACCTCTGATAGGTAAGGGATTTTGCCATTGGCTAGGGGGAGGCTTACACTTCTGGATGGGCTTCATGAGAGACCAGTATCAGACCCTAGATGGAAATTGTTATTTCCATAAGGCATTGATGGTTGCCTCTCTCTGCTTGCTGTGACATTGCTCGCCCCCACTTTGCACCTTTGGTCAGAGGGTTAGCACCAATTCTGTAGTTTCTGGTGATTTTGATAAGGGTCCTGCATCTGCCTCTCATTCTTCAGTGGTTTCAGCGTTTGGCACTCACCAGCTTAGATGTGCAGGGGATTAGTACGCCCGCCCCAGCTTTCCTGGCACCTAGTCTGAAGTTCAACCCTATGCCTCACTCTTTTGTGGCCTCAGTCAGGCAGTGCTCAGCCCCATCGCTATCCCGTGGCCGCCCCTTGCAGCCCTTCCGTGGCGGCTCCACCCAGGAGTTGTGGATGATGGTGCCACCCGGTGCGGGATCGACTTGCAGTGCTGACACTACTCGCTTCTTCAGCTTACTGCGGAGTACATTGCGCAACTTCTGGCGGGTAAAGGCATATAGGAGCGGGTGGAAGATGGTGGTTCCGTAGGCCATGGCCAAGAAGCAGATGCGCAGCTTGCCCAGCAAGGGGCTGGGCCCGAGGCACAGAATGAGCAGGTTGACAATGGACAGAGGTGCCCAGCACAACAGGAAAGTTGAGATGATGAGCAGGGACATGCGGAAAACACGCCTCTGGCGCTCCCGCCGGTCGCGGTGGCGCTTCACGGCCCGGCGCAGCGCGATGATCACAGAGACGGAAGCCTGCACGCCCATAGGGGGTGGAGTATGGAGCGTGGGCATGGGCTGGGACAGCCTCTTGGCCTCCTTTGCGCTGATCATGCTGCTGCTGCTGCTGCCCAGCTCTGTTGCTTTCCGCCGCCTCCTCTTTTTGGTCTTGCGGCGCTGGCTGCGCTTGAAGGTGCTGCCAATGCTGATATTGAGAGCTTGCAGGATCTTGGCGTAGGTCACCAGCATGACAGCTACAGCTGCAAAGAAAGTGGGGATCTGGATGGCAAGGTGATAGGAGGTGCCAAGTTCGGCATGGAACTCTTCTGGGCCGACACACAGCACAGTGCGGTTTTGCCACACGCTGGCGTGTCCAAACTCACCCTCAAGGAAGGGTATAAAAAAAACAGTCAGGGAGAGCACCCAGACTCCAGCCAGGAGTAGAATAGCCCGGGCCGGAGTGAGCACGCGCTGCGCTGGACGAACCGAGATGTCGTAACGGTCCAAGCTGATCACCAGCACATTGGTGGCAGTTGCCACGCTGCTGAAGGTGATGCAGGCCTCATGGAAGCAGCAGAACAGGGTGGCAGCACGATCAGGTGGCACCAGTACTACCACCATGGTGAGTGGCGCACATACCACACAGATGAGCACATCTAATACGTGCAAGTTCATGGTCACCATGTTGCTGACAGAGTCAACCAGGCCAGCTTGCAGGCAGTACAGAACCAACACTGTGAGGTTGCTGCTGACCCCCAGAACGATTTCCAACATTAGGAAGCCTGTCAATGAGACCTGGAAGCCCAGTGGGTACGGCAGGGTCCAGCTAGGGTCGGGGGTTACCCCGTCTGTTGTCTCCAGGATGGTGTCAAACATGGGACTCTCCATGGCTGAAAGGGGCAGAAACACGTGGGCATAGTCCTGGACTCGGCTGGGTGTTACAGACAGCAACCTTACCTGTGGGGAGAGAGATGCCATCAAGTACCATAAGGGTGGCAACATTTATTTTTTCAACAATAGACTTTGTACTAAACCCACAAATATGCCCTGAGAATATCAGCTTAAACATCACATGGAGGCCAAGTTCAAACGAGATGTTTTACCTGGTTATGGTATTAACCCATTTTCTGGGTTCCTAGGATACATTAAACCACAAAATGGACTGGGTTTGCAGTGTGTTCAATAATGGAAGAAGAAACAAACATGCAATATTAAAACTAATGAAGCTTAGCATGTTGCACACACGTGGTTAAGGCCTTAACAGCCTGCTTCAGCTTATTGTGTGAATCCAGCCAATGAATCCTGCACAAAGGTGAAATTTTAAAAATGTGAAATGTTTTAGCACCATCATTTGAAAAGAAGATGCAATCTGCGCATGTCTTTCACTGCACATGAATGCCTTTTCTGTAGTTCTCTCCCTCCCCCCCCCACTTTCCTGTGTAGAAGAGGACTTACAGGAACAAGCATTTTTCTACCTTATTTTGAAGTTTCTCTATATGGCAAGATCACTTCCTTTTTAAGGAAGAGGTAGCGCATGCATAATGTGAAGCAACCTAGACATCACCCACTTCCCTTGACAAACCCACAAATATACACAGACAAATGTTTACAAACAGAAAACACATTGGCTACATATACTCACATAGACTTGAAACTGGCCATCACTCATGCCTTTTGCAGAGTCAGCCAGCAGAATCCATACTCCATACTAAGTTGGCCATACTCATGCCCTTTCACAGAATCAGCCAGCAACAATTTAAACTCACCCACGCAGAGTTTTCAGTATACAGATAGTCCTCACTTAACAACCATTCATTTAGTGACCATTTGAAGTTATGACAGCACTATGATCAGTGCCTGAAGTTATGACCATCACAGTGCCCCCATGGTCATGTGATCACAATCCGGGTGCTTGGCAATCAGCTCACACTTACAATAGTTGCAGCATCCCAGGGTCATGTGATCACA